ATATATGATATATATATGTATACATATGTATACATATATATATATATGTATACATATATATATATATATATACATATATATATATAGACACAATTACAAGGATTAAATTGTGGTGAGGATGACATCATTGACCTCCCTTGTAAAATGTATTGGTGGGCATATGCAAGAATAAGGTGAACAAGATGGAAACCAGCTGTGAAACAAGAGATGTGGAGACTCAGAATAAAAGCCAGTGAGAAATTTTATAGGCAGGGGTCAGGATGCTGCTGATGAAGACAACAATTATTCATATGAATATAGCATGGGAGTATGAGGTTGGGAGAAACAGAAGTGGAGATGTAGGAAAAGTGACAAGGAAAGAGGAGGTTGATGAGAATAGAAGGGAAATAAGGCCTGAAGAGGAAACATTTGGGGGTTGTAAATTGATATGTATTAAACGAGACCTGGTCTAGTCGGGTTATTTGGAAATTACTTTTCCCTGATCCAAACTGGCCCAATTGGAGCTGGAAAACTTAATATGAGCTTGCTGAAATTTTGATAGGTTCTTGTGTCCTTTTCCTTTTCTTTCTTCATATAATTTTTGGAGTGTCTCAAAAAATAGATCTTTCTTAATGTAGTATCTAGAGTGTGTCAAAAAATAAAAAAAGACACCTTTGATAATCGAGGGGTTAATGAAAAAGATTTGCTGAAATGATCCACACACAACAATTCTAATCTCCGTATGCATAGTTCTATGGTTCTATTCCTTTATTATGTGTATTAGATTATTAAAGCTATAAATTTCAGTATCTATTGTATTTGATTTGACAGTTAATGCTATTGTAAGAATTTATAAAAGCATAAAAGATACAGATAGGTTGCTTTTGCTGACATTAGTTTGACTTTCGGAAGGCAAAATTGTTGCACTGGTGTAACTTGTGTGATTGTCTTGCTTATTATCCTTGATACAATTTTGGAGGCTCGTTGCTATATTTGTTAGCAAAGAACACTTAGTATAGTTGCTGCCATGATTACGATATGTATTTCTTCTTTGAGTGAACCTGTTCTCTGTGCTTGCTTTATAAGTTTCACTGATTAGGAAGATTTTAGCAGGTTTCACCAAGTGGATAGTGATGATTTAACCATAGCAGTAAATTTTTGGTGGAAATCAGACATGATGTCTAACATGTTGGAACACATGGATCCATATTATTTGAGGCGGATATTGAATAGGTATTATGTTGCATTACCCTTTTGAAATGTCTTTTCCTTGCAGTTGCTGTATTTTGTCTGGCATAACCAAACTATATGCATCTTAACCCTTGGTATTCATATCCTAATAAATGTTAATTTTTTCTATTCTTCTGAATGTGCAACTGTTTTTGTGGATATCTAATTAGAGTTTACATCTTTTTTCTCTTCTGTTTGCCTTATGGGATGGCATTTCTATCTTCCTGATGTATAAATAGATTGGTGGAGAAGGAAAAGGTACACATTTTTCAGTTTCAATCATATTATTTTAATGGCAGGAATTTTCTGTTTTGTGGAATCTTTCTGTTTAGCATCCATTATTACATTTTATACCTATTCTCTTGTTACTGATAAACTATCCTTTTGTCAGAATAAGAATTATCTAAGTTGACCTTGTGTCTTAGTTACCAAGTCCTTCGAATTTTCTATGCTTTCAGTTATTTGCTTCATCAAATATATTAATGGTTAATTATTGGTCATTAATTAAAAAGGTTGGAGGTAACACTTCAATAAAATGTGAAAAAAGTTAAATAGGATGAAAAAAGGAAGATAAGAAAAAAATCAAGAAACTCATGGAAGCAAGGTGCTCAAGGCAAAATCAAGCAAATATGAAAAATTTAGGTTGAAGATTGTTACTTTAGGCTAATTCCTAGCATATCCTAGCTGGAATCTTGGGCACCATTAAGTGCATAAATATTTAGAATGTTAGGAAAATAATTTAATTTACTTCACTGTTAGTAGTCTGAACAAGTTTTACAATTTAATAGGTTCCTAAATCCACTCACATTTTGGAACTCCTATTCTCATCTCCATGGTTGTACCTTTAGTTTTCTACATCAAAATCTCTGTGACACCAAATCTGTATTTTTTCTAAAGATTTTTAACATGTAGTTTGTGTCTCATGCAATGTTAAACCATGCTAGCAAATGTAATCTATTGATCAGTGATTTAAGAAGTGCTAGCCGTCAAAAGGTGCCAAGGTCCAAAAACGTTCGAGGCGCTAGGCGTTCGCCTGAGCGAAGCAAGGTGCTAAAATATAAAATTATATAATATAATTAATAAGTATAATTATTTAAATAAAAATATGATATTAAATTAAGAAAATCTTGCAAAATTACAATATCACATTAACAAAAAGTCTCAAAATTCAAAACAATAGCAATAATTTCAAATAAATAAAAATTAGCAGTATTAAAATCAAAATAATATATTATTAATCTAATAAATAAAAAAAAACTGTTACTAGTATATAGTTAACAGCAGTGTCTGTCATACCGAATCGTACCGCCCAGTACGGGCGGTACGTACCGGTCCGATAGGCCAGCGGTACATGAACCGCCCGGTACCGGTCCGCATTGTAGCAGTGCTACAGTGCACCAATACACTGTAACACTGCACTGTAGCAGTGCTACAGTGCTACAGTACCCCGTACCGTACCGGTACCGAGCCCAGGTCGAAATACCGGTACGGTACGGTATTGCGAACCTTGGTTAACAGTATATTGTTAATATACTATTAACAGTATACTATCGAGTCGATGTGAGAAGAGTGAGTAAGAGTAAGACAGCAGCGGTGAGCAGCGAGCAACGATAGTGGGAGCGGCGACAATGGCAAGCACCGACAGCAGCGATGAGCAGTGATAGTGCCAATGGTAGCGAGAGCGCAGCGTAAGAGTAAGACCGATGATACTGACTAACAACAGCGAGCAACGACAGCAGGAGCGGGAGTGGCGAGCAGCGACAGGAGCGACGAGCAACGACAGTCGCAGTGGAGAGCAACGACAATGGCAGTGGTCAGAGAGGAGCGATAGTGGAGAGAGGCAACGATAGCGGAGAGGAAATGTCGGCGATAGAATCGTGAGCAGGGTTAGGGTTGGGGAAGTCGCGAGAGGGATGCTGGGAGGCTGATATCGGTGCTTTAGTTGGTTCGATTGAACCAACTAAATCATCGGGGTTGCCTGGTTTAACCCAGGCGCTCACCTGAGCCCAGGCGTCGGTGCTTCAAGCGAGCGCCCAGGTGGCGCCTCTTTGAAGCGCACCACCTGGACATGAAGCGAGGCGCTTGGGCCTTGCCTCGCCTCGCCCGAGCGCCTATTGAAATCGCTGCTGTTGATCAGATGGATCAAGTTTTTCTTCTTTGCGATCAAGTGTCTCTTCTTAGCCCCAAAGACGATCCTTTTAATCTTATAGTTTATGCTTCAATTAGCCTGTATCTGCATTTTGGATGTGAAGTTTCTCAGCAATAAATGTTTTAAGTTTACTACCCACACTTTGCCTTGTTTTAGTGACCACCTCTGTTCTAACTTAACTATAGCTGCATTTTGCCTTATTTATTTAATCACCACCTCCACCAGTGGCTATAACAAATATATCCGAGTCTGCAAACTACATCTTTGTTTTCAATGTTTAATGGGCTATATACGAAGATGTTCTGAGAAGCATATTAGTCTTGTTGATTTGAATATGTGATTTTTTATTGTATTTTTCAATGACTCTTTAACTGATAGGTAACTTATTGAATTTCAGTTGCAATTTAACTATGTAATCTGTTTACATTCTGCTGGGAATAGGACAGAATCATGTGTTACATGAGAGCTTCAGTGGTGGTTCCAAATTTATAGAAAATTATCAACTTGCTGATGATGCCTCAGAAGGTTAGCCTTCTTCCTGAACAAATTTTAGATTGATCCTTGCAACTGCATGACTTTTATGCATCTTTTCATGTTATTGGCCTGTAATGAGCACGAGTTTGATGGAGACATGTAGACACTATTGTCGAGTAGATTATTTTTTATTAATATATTAGTAGTTGAAGATGGAAGCTTCAATCGCTACCTTGGATGTCTAATCAACTCTGAAATTTTAAGAGTTGTTTTAATCTGTGTGTGAATTAAAAGTTATCTTAGATTTATGAAATGAGGTGCAGAATGCTCTGCCTTAATATAGTGCCTTATGCCCATGGTGTGGAGTAATAGAACGAGCGTGTATCTAGAATTTATATTCTGATGGTCAACATGAGCATGCATGTGGCATGCAGGCCCAGTGATGACACTGTGTTTCCAGAATTTATATTCTGATGGTCAACATGAGCATGCATGTGGCATGCAGCCCAATGATGACACTGCATATGGCTATGCCTACTGTAGCAGAGTAGTGCTTCAATCCACAGTTCAGCTTGTTGCCAGGAACATGTTGGGCCATGCTTTGCTTGTGAATTGAATATTTTACTTCTGGGTTATATTAAGGTCTTTGGAGTTCCATAATATTATTTTGAAAACAACACGAGTTTTTGTATGTGGTTGAACATGCCATTATTGTGTGCCATTTGCATATAAATGAAAAGATTCAAATAATGCATTCGGCCCATGTTGAATGGGCCTTTGTACAATGCAATGACATGTAGATACAACGTTAGTTAGTCACAAAACTAGGGTTCACCATTTCAGGTATCGGACTTGTCTCGGAGATTTGTCGGGTCGGTACATACCGATTTGTACTGATGTACTGACACACATTATGCTTGGGCATGCCAACGGGGACTCGGATGATCTGCGTCTCAGTCTCCAGTTGTACTTGTCCATACTGCCCATGCCATACCCAGTGATTGCAAAAGGCGCTCGGGCGCTCGCCTAGGTGCTCGGGCGAGGCGAGGCGAGGCCCGAGCGCCTCGCTAATGTCCCAGGCGGCGCGCTTCAAACAGGCGCCGCCTGGGTAAACCAAGGCAACCGAACCAGAATTTTAGGTCTGGTTCGGTCCTAGTTCGGTTGTTAGTTGGTTCAATCGAACCAACTAAACCGATATAACCCCAACCCTAACCCTAACCCAACACTAACCTGCTGCCGCTGTCGCTCTCGATCGCGATTGCGATCTCGTCGCTCGCTGTCGCTGCTCCCGTTGACGCTGCTCGCCGCTGTCGCTGCTCGCGCCTCCCGCGAGCCGTCCCGCTGCTCGCGCCTCCCGCAAGCCCTCTCGCTGCTCGCGCCTCCTGCGAGCCTTCCCGCTGCTCGCGCC